TCACATCACTGCCTGAGCTCCATCTCCCATCAGATCCCCCACCTCCAACCCCTCAGTCTGGGGAAAAATTATCCTCCATGAAACTGGTCCCTGGTGCCAAAAAGGTTGGGGACCCCTGATCTAGAACCCCTAAGAATCATGTCCCTCTGATCTAGAACCCCTAAGAATCATGTCACTCTGTGTGTGTGTGTGTGTGTGTGTGTGTGTGTGTTAGGGAGATGGAAGAGAGGGGAATAGCAAGACCTAAAGAGATGGAAAAGGACAGCTGATGTTGAATCACTAATGGAAATCTCTCCCTAGATAGCAACACTTTGTGTGCACTTACCTACTTACTACATGTTGATTGACTATTGACTGGAGAGAGCCCAGGTCAATTTCATCAGACTATCTATTATCAGAAAACTCCTAAGCCCATCCCAAACTCACCCTATCTTCTTCTAACTTGTTTGCTCCTGGGTTGGTGTTCTAAGCTTATGACGATGGGATTAGGTAGCATGAAGGTATTACAGAGAGATAAATCAGGATGCAAAGATCCTTTCATCTATCACAAAGAAGGCAACCGGACAGCTTGTGGGAACAACATCCAGCTCCATATTTCTCAACTTCTGGTGAGTTTGAGCAAGATGTAATTAAAGGATGTTGGAGGGTTAACCTGGCTCTAAAACAAACAAAAAAATAAAATGCAAGAAGAGATCACGTACTGGACCTACGGGCCTGGGTGGGGCTGGTCTTGAAAATGAGAGCGAACAGGAAGGAGATGTACCCAACCTCCTTGTAGCCATTGGCAAGCTAATAAGTGAAACTTGATGATTACAAGGTCACTGCAAACCTTGATTACTGAATTCATTTAGATGGAACCCTCAACCAACCCTCCCTGTTTATGGCTCCACAGCAAACAATTTTCTGGGAAAGGAGGGATCTGGGCACTAAATAACCACGGAGTAAACAGTCCTTCCCTCCCAGGATGTGCTTGAAACCTTGGCCCAGGCTCTTGGAGGCTGATGGGAGAGTGACAGGGTAAGGAGAGCTGGCAGTGAGCAGGAGAAGGACCGTGGGGCAGGGCAGGTGGCGGAGCCTTCTCATTTTGATGTTAAAATGTTTGTTTGTTCCATTCTGAAGCAAAGGACTTGCTGGGATTTTGTTTTTGTCTTTGTTTTATGGCATTGGTTTGGGTCTCCAAATTATTGATTCTCTCTGTGGGTGACATTTGCAGGCCCAACCCCATTATTAGAGGAAACAGTGCTCACCTTCCTATCTCCCTCCACCCTCTCTTTTAGTCCATCAACAATAGACCTGTCTGTCTATATCTTAGCTGAGAGACAGGGAGCTGGAAGTCCAGGGTGATACTAGCACCCACAAGGGAGACTGTCTCGAGAACCTTCTCAAACTGCTCTTTCTTAGCTGGAATTTATAGTGGCTCATCCTCTGTAGCTTTATATGGTGGAAATTTGCTGCCTGGGGTCTAAGTTAACAATAACTCCAGTTTTCTACAAAACTATGCCTTGAAATTATTACTTTGCTGCATCCACTTCTTGCTGCAGAAGAATAGTTTGTAATCTTCAAATTGCTTTAAAGGTGGGAAAACATTCGGCCTCACAAAGGAATGAATTACTTGACAACTTTTGGAGGCAAAAATACAAAACCTCCTCTTACAGCTAAAATCAAGTCTGATATTAGATTTAGGATTATTCAGCTCCAAGACACCCTTGTAAATTCTAGGAAAGCATGGTCGGGATGCGTTTAGACTTTGATGATATCTGTGGGCAGCAGGACCAGGCTTCTATGAGAGAAAAGGCTCACGTTTGTGCCGTTCTTCCCAAAGGTTTTGCAGAGAGAACTAGAGGTTAAATCTATGATGGAAACTCTGCAGGAATCAGCTGACTATTCTAGTTACTTACATACAAATCCTGGGGACTACAAGGATCCAGGGATGAATCTGGCAATTGTATGTAACTCTTTCTGAGGAGTATTCTTTTATATAATGTATCAGACTTAGAATTAAACATGAAGGCTATCTAAGGCTAGATAAATAACATCCCAATTATACAAACAGACAGAAGAATAACTAGCCAGACAAAAGGGGGAGTATAATCAGGGAAATATGGATGTCAAGTGTGATTTTTAAAATCTTCGGGGCTGCTGTTAGCGGTGTCAGAGGAATTTAAGGAAGGCTTCTTAAGATGGAATTTTAAGACTAAAAGTAAGTTAGTAGTTGGGGTATTTGAGGGAAGTAGAGGAATACCTAGCAAGTACTGATACAGTTACCTCTCTGGTGCATAATGAGGTCTCCACAGCAATTAGCCCAGAAGAAGGGGATGGGGAGTCCAGGTGAACAGGTGCCACAACCACAGATCTGTTCGCATGGCTTCCCTGACTCCCAGATCGTCTACTGCATACGTACTCTTGTTTGAGCACTTTGTGTCAGCTGCTCTACTCACATTATCTCCTTTAATTTTCCCCATAACCTGAAAAGGAAGATATTACTAGATCCATTACAGGTGGAATGAGGCCTATGGAAGGTTATGCAATTTATCCAAGGTCATGCAGTCAGTTTTATGGAGCAGGAATTTGAAACTACGCTTTTGATTCTAAAAAATATACTATATACTGGGTTAGCCCAAAGGGTAATATGGCTTATTAGAGTCACCTGAGGCCCTTATAGTATAGAACTCTGGCTCCAGCATAGTAGGATCCCAGTTAGGGTTGCCAGATAAAATAGAAGATGCCCAGTTAAATTTGAATTCCAGAAAAACAACAAATGATTTTTTTTTTTTAGCCTATGTACATACCATGAAATACGTGGGACGTACTTTTGCTAAAACATCAGTTGTTGTTTTTCTGGAATTCAAATTTAACTGGGTGCTGTGTGTTTGTATTTACTAAATCTGATAATCCTACTGGGGCTCTCCAGATGACAGAAAAGAAAGCCCGTAGCATTTTACTACTTTAAAAGAACTGGCGAGTCAAAAATACTCGCTCTGAGTTGTCCTCTGTGGCTTTGGCAGAGCCAAGATGTGTCAGTTACGGGTGGCCCATTCTGAACGTAATGCTACTCTGACTGCCCACCACTGATTCCCGTGGTCCCAACCACACTTGGGAGAGGCACAAACCTTGCCTATTTACCAGGACTAGAGAGGGCCTGCAGCACAGGAAGTGAATTTAGTGAGCAGAAAAGCCAGCAGTGCATTTCCAGAAGCCCCTGAAGACTTTGTGAGGTGAAGATCAGCTCATGCCTTCTCTGTGTCCTGATGGAGAAGTCCCAGGGTCGCAACCTCTTAACTATTCAACTTCTTCATCCATTAGTCACTCGTTCAACAAACATGATGCACAGGGTGGCCATAACGTTCTTGTGCAATTTAAAATAGTTGTGTTTCACTTGGAGAGAACCTTATGGCCACTCTGTATGTGGCACGTCTGCTGTGTGCCACGCACTACGGTAGGTTCTGAGACTACAGAAAGGAATAGAAACTGAACAAGTAGCCTCGTGAAGCGTACTCCAGTGGGGGATAAATGCAGGATTCACAGCAGGAGCAGGGGTTCCGGGGTCCTGGCCTGGCTCACCATTCCTGGTACCAGATCACAGATTAGCCAATGTGTTTGCACTGAAAGGAAGAGAATGAAGAAACTGGGGGGGGGGAATAAGGGAAAAAACTTCTTGGAGGAAAGGATAATGATTGAAACCTCACTTTGAGAGAAATTTTTAAAAGTTATGAACTTGAAGTTATACAACATAAAATGTGAAGGATGAGCAGTGTGGCGGGAAAAGAGAGTGGTTGTTTAGGATGGGCTGAACGTTGTCAAGGAGGATTGCAGCTAAGAACATTAGCATAGTCTGGTAAGCCGTGGAGAGAGGAACCCTGGGGAAACGGAGCTCCCAGGCATTAGATGATAGAAGGGGTTGGCTTAGAATAAGAGGTTAAAGCAATTTGGAAGTTCTTTGGAGCTTCTCAGAATCTTCCTTCTGAAAGCTTTGTCAGTTGTTGTAAAGGAAAAGGAGAAAGAAAAAAGTCATCCTACAGCTTAGCCCATTTATTTATAAAAGTTATCATTGTCAGTAATATCCTTTGATTTGGATTTGAAGAATGGCAACATACATGTCTGTAGCCAAAATCAAGTCTGGGAATACCATATTGGATAAGTCCATGATTTGGATAAAAGAAAAAAGTTAAAGAAAGGAAGGTGACCAAGAAATGTGTGGCTGTAGAACCTTATGTCACATGGTTCTACATGGTATGGGTGTGGGATCGAAGCACAAACTTATTATTTAATCTCCCTCCATTAACACCCCTGTGTGTGTGCATGCACGCATGCGTGCGTCTGTGTGTGCATATATTAGAAAGCACTGGATATACAAGGGCTGCCCAGAAGGTATCCAGCTATGTACGTCTCTGTTTTCCATATTACATGGCTGGATACCTTCTGGACAGTTCTCGTAGTCAGGGATGTTGGTATGCCTCATTCAGGCCTCCTCTTATCCAGACAACTACATGGTCATCCTTCGGAACTAAGAGAGAAGACTCTGAATCAGGTAAGAGTAAACAAAATAAACATTGTATGGGAATAGTGCAACTAACATTTAGAGTCAGGTTATTTGCAACTGGATGAAATAATAGACAGAGCTTACAGAATCGTAAGTACCCTAAAAGATTGTAAATGTCACTGAGTCCATTTCCTTTCCCTTATGAATGTTAGTAGTGAGATCACAGAGAGGAATGTCACTTAGAGCCCTACTGGCAGATTTACTGGGACAACAGATCCACCTAGATTTTATAGTTTACACCTTACTACTTTGAATGCCTCCATTGATTTATACCAGATTTTCTTACAGATCTCTTCAGGAGATGGTAACTTTCCCTTGTGTGTCAGCACAAAATACTGAGCTTCTTCATTAAAGTCCTTCTCTTCCTCAGTCTACGGTAAAGATCTAATAATAACCAGTGGTTCCTGCGACTTCAAGTGTCTTTTTTTTCTCTCTTGTGGTCTAAGGAGTCTGAAAGGGAAACCTCAGCCACCCAGGATTGTCAAGATGAGTGACGGCACCACTTTGGTTCCTCCAGCCTCAAACCAGGGCCCTACCACCCCACGCAAAGGCCCCCCCAAGTTCAAGCAGAGGCAGACTCGACAATTCAAGAGTAAACCTCCCAAGAAAGGTGTGAGAGGGTAAGATCAAAATGAAAAAGAAAACTCTCTATTACTTTTTTCTCACAAAGCTGCTTTGGTTTTGAGAAACTAAAGCTCTCCATAATAAATAAACGTATACAAATTTCCACTCCAACCTCAATTTTCCTCTCTAACTTAACCTTTCCTGAATTGTGTCTTTAGCCCTGGAATCTATTCCCTCTCTGCTCCCAGGTCTACGGTCAAGTTTAACATGGCAAATGGAGGCTTTCACAGCAACTTTTGACTTGGCTCTCCAGATTTCTTCACCACTCTTCTTCACTGATATTCCTCATGCTTTCATCTGGAATACTAAACCACTGGCCATTGCCAGAAAATAGTTTATTTTTATGGATTTGCATCTTATTTAGATTTTCATTTTTTTTCTTCCTCTCCTTAACTAAATCCTATTCATTTTTCTCCTCCCTCTCTCTTCCTTTCTTTCTTTCTTCCTACCGTTCTCTTTTTTTTTGATGAGTCTCACTGTCACCCCAGGTACAATCAATGCTGTGGCATTATCATAGCTCAGAGCAACCTCAGTCTTTTGGGCTCAGGTGACCCTCTTGCCTCAGCCTCCCCAGTAGGTGCCCACCATGATGCCCAGCTAGTTTTTCTATATTTAGTAGAGACAGAGTCTTGCTCTTGCTCAGGCTGGTCTTGAATTCCTGAGCTCAAGTAATCCACCTGCCTCACCCTCCCAGAGTGCTGGGATTACAGGTGTGAGCTATAGTGCCCTGCCATTCTATTCATCTTTCAACACACAGCTCATATATTAAATTTTTTTTTTTTTAAGACAGAGTCTCACTTTGTCACCCTTGGTAGAGTGCTATGGCATCACAGCTCACAGCTACCTCAAACTCTTGGGCTTAAGTGATCCTCTTGCCTCAGCCTCCCAAGTAGTTGGGACTACAGGCCTCTCCAACAATACCTGGCTATTTTTGTTGTTGTTGTTGTTATTGTTGTTGTTGCAGTTGTCATTGTTGTTTAGCAGGCTGGGGCCGGGTTTGAACTTGCCTGCCTTGATGTACATGGCTGGTTCCCTACCCACTGAGCTGCCTGTTAATTTCTTTTTGAAGCCACTACTGATTGTCTTTAACAAACTTTATCATGACTTTCATGTTTGCATTTTGTATATTTAACTATCATACCTTATTTTATGCTACATTTATTTATTTACATTTGTTCCCTGAGACCAACACCACTCAGAGATTATTTATTTATTTATTTATTTTTTCTCTTAACTCTCAGTACCTTACACAATGCTTGGTATATAGTAGATGCTTAGTTAATGCTTTTGAATAAATATACAAATGGATAAATTACTCATTGTAATGCCTTTCATGTTACCTTTTAATTTCAATTTTAATTTTAATTGGTGAAGCTTGAATACATTGTTCCACTGATAATTCTTTCTAGCTTTCAATTGTCTTAGGCTAAGTGCCTTTCCACTGAGATACACTAAAACCTACCTGAGTGACCTTTTACAAGCTTCAGTTCAATGCAAACAAATGGAGTTTCTCAAATGCAAACACACCTTTTATCTTTCTCCTCTGAGTCAAGAAAACTATGTAACTCCAGGGTCCTTTTGCTTTGATCTCAGCTGATTTCTCTTTTATTTTTTCCCTTAGGTTTGGTGATGACATTCCAGGCATGGAGGGGCTAGGAACAGGTAAGCTACCCAGATTTAAGTGAAACTTTGTGTCA